TAACCTGGTATCCGCAGTTGAGTCAATGCTTAGCTGGCTTAGACCGGTAGAAGTCGGGTGATTTCCTGTCACCTGCGAGCTATAGGTGGTTACCTGGATCTGCTTGGAGAACTATGTAGTCATGGTATAACTAAGTGTTAAATGAAGTTGAGACCGGACGGAGACTTACAGAGTTTTGGACTGTAGTGCTTTCCGTCTGTGTCGATTAAGGACCGACCGTTGTTGGGCCTCAGGTCATGTTGAACGCATGCCTTACATTTAGCTGGCCGAATAAAGTACCTTTCGACCGCGAAGCTGGGAGATTATTCGGGCCGAGTAGATTGCCCGCAGCGCACTGTGCCGGAGCAGGTGTGGTAGGACACGGGGGCGCGAAGATAAGACCAAAGAGCAGTCGGTCGGCCCTCGGGTACATATGGTTCCTGGCAAACTTGAGATTCCTGAATAGTTGACTCGGTGACCGATACCTCACTTTAGCGGGTGAGTGAGGTTTGTGTAAGGAATAAATCACCAGCTGGTTAGAAATCGATTCGAATCGTCATCGCTCCTGGATAGTGAGCACTTGACTTGAGTGACTTCATCGTAGTAATGTTGATGGAACACTTGGACAGTTATAATGAATATGACCTTATGAAAGTTGTTAATGATCATTGGTTATCATTATTTATTTAATCACATGTTTGCTCTAGTATAGGTGCAAATGTAGTCGATAGGTTAATAATAATTAACTTGACAATAATGCTTTTGGAAAGGTTCTTGAAATACTAAAAATGTCGCTTTTTGCAAATGAGTCAGCTACCCTACTATAAAGCCCTTCATAATCCTTGGTGTCACTTTATTTTCGGTTATGTCGGGTAAGTCTAGCTGAGTACCTTCTCGTACTCAGGGTTCTATTCCCACTTGTTGCAGATGGACAGATGTATTACGGCTACTGTATCAACTGCCTTTATCCTGCGATGGGTGATGCTTAGGACCATGGGCATGGTCATTCCTTACGTCTCGTCTGATGCTTTTGTTGGAGATGATCATTAGATGACACTGTATTTGAACTCCGTGTGTGTGTGGTTTTGAACAAATGGCTTCTGTTACTTCTATTTGAACTCGTTTTGTAATAGCTATGTTTAAACTCTGATGTATCTGAGATGCGAAATTTTATGTAATATGTGATGGTGACCGCTAAACTTATTACGATCTTAACTGGTATGTGGGTTGGTTTGAAATCCTTCGTGATTTCACGGACTACCGGGTTATACGGGCTTAAGTTTGCTAAATCGCCCGCTCATGCGGATGATTTTCTTACTTAATTTCAGATAATTGGTCGGTTCTCACAAACTTCACCCATGAACGCTTCACTTGGCCAAAGCTCGCCTTCTCTATCATATTGTCGACCGTAGAGTTTACTAAAATAGTATAAATTCTCTCATTGACCATCTCGAAACCAATTTCAAACCCTCAAGAAGAAAGCAAGTCAGCTAAGCCATTGGATATGGGCAAGCACATCCCGATGAGCCGCCGCTGGACCACCGTGGTCGTTGCGCAAGGTTTCCGCCATCCGCCCAAACACGTGTTCATCGTGCTCGTGCACGACATGCGCGCGCGGCCACCACCATGAGGGCATGCCGAGCATTGCAATGGTGGTCGAATGGATCGAGATTGGTAATGGTTACGATATGTACCCTCGTCAGAAACTGAAGTGCCCCGGACGCCTCGATGGCGGGCGCCGATGGGTCGGTGCGCTGGCCTTGACCAGCCCGCTTGCCGTTGGCCGCCACGCCCTCGTGCCCGGAGATAGTGACCACCGCCGCCGTGATAAGCCATGTCGTCGCAGCCCCTCCTCCATCGTACGGCCCTACGGGTAGGCCTACACGAGAAGGCATCGCGCCGGCACCCGGCGACCACGCCACCGCCAACGCCGCTGCGCGAAGCGCATGTTCATCGCTTCACACCGCCTTTGCACCGACTCGATCACCGCCGAGCATCGCATCGCGTTCCCGACTATGCTATCGCCACCGCCCAGATGGTCATCCACAGCGCACCGCCACCGTGTTCGAGGCGGCCGCCGCCTTGCCGCCCCCGAAAGATAACTCGCCGCAACCACCACCTCGCGCGCCCGGTGGAGCTCGCCCTGCTCCGCGGATGCAGCCTCCCCACGCCCTCCTCCACTGCGGCGAGCATGCCGTCGACGTTGAGACCCCACCAAGAGGGCGCGAGGCGTATGAGAGCCCGCCTTTGGCGCTATCCGCGAGATCGTGGATTTCCGCGACGAGGCCCCATAGCGTGACGCTGCTTTCCATCGTCACGTCCCCCCGCCGCGGTGTCGATGGGCATGATGCGGTCGAGCCGCCTGGTGCTGATGACGAGGCCCTCTCCATCGCCGCTCTTGGACGCGGGGCGACTACGGCCCACATCAGCTCGTCCTCCGATGTTGTGTACGCTGCGGAGGACCAGCGGCGAGGGATTGAGAAAACCAGCCACCGAGGGCATTCTGGACATTTCAAGTCACCGGGCCCATATGTCAGGGCTAGCAAACGGTGAAAACCTAACAGAATGTGGACGGAATGGCGTAGAGGGCAAAGGCGCCGTTCGCTGGTCTGATTTTTTCAGACCAGTCGGTTGCTTCTCTCACAAATCACTGTGCATCTTTCAGCCGCTACAGTATTTCTCTCTCACATAATCAGCCAGTTTCAGATCAGCGAATGAGGCCCAAGAAATTACGACCAGTGGCACCTATGACCACTCAAACTATTTAATGGTTGATGAATAATTACACACTTTTATAATGGCAACTGCGTAAAACCCTATGTATTAACCCTATGTATTCCGACCAGACCGTCTGGTCCATGTTAAAGCTGCAGAGCATGGCACGGCGACGTCGTCCTTGGTGCTGCTGTGGGCCTCCCCCTGCGCTGCGATGCGCAGGCACAAGGCAGGCGATCAACAAGATACCCGAACCAAAGGCGGTGGACCGTGGATGGATGGATGGACATGGAGCCGTCAGCCGTGGCCCGTGGGACGGACGGGAGGGAGGGCCGGCCGGTGCTGGACAGAAAGGGACGACAGAGAAAGGAGGGGAGAATTCCCCGTCTCCTTCCTAAAAGGCGAGCACCGCTCGGCGGCCTCGATCGGCCGGCCGATCTTGTACGTCCCGGCGTCCCCCATGCCCTCTCTGCTAAAGGCCTTCCGTGCTTCATTCCTTCCAAAAGAAAGGAGGCACCAGCCACGCCGTCTTTCCATGTGTCCTTCCTGCTTGCCGTGCAGTGCAAACGTTAGTGTGCTGCCTTTCGCTCCGACGTGGCTGCCGGTGTCGTTTACACTAACAAAGGTTTGGGCAGTACTAAGCTCTTGTTTACTTCTCCAAAAGTGCACTATAAAAAAAAATTCTCCGTTACATCAAATTTGTGGTACATGCATGGAGTACTAAATGTAGACGAAATCAAAAACTAATTGTACAGTTTGCTTTAACTTTACGAGACGAATCTTTTGAGTCTAATTATTCAATATTTGGACAATAATTTACAAATATAAACGAAATGCTACAGTGAAGAATCGTGCACTATGCATGCAAACTTTGCCGAACTAAACGCGCCCTTAGTAGAGTTGCTCTGTTTGTCTGCCCACTTTTGAATTTTGAACCGGAGTGCATCATCATCCATGCACGCTTACGTAGGAGCACAAGTACGAACGGGGGTGTCCTGGCCGCCGTGCAAGCAAAGGTGGTCAAAAGACTCCAAGGGGGAAAAGAAAGACCACTGGCCACGCACGGTGCCGGAGCCAGCCGACGGCACGGCACGCAGCCACGCTCGCCTCTGCAGCTCTGCTCTGCCCACGAGAAAAGAGGGCAGGTCGGTTTTAGAGTCAGGCCAGGTTTACTTCTCAAAAATTTTCAACTTAAATTATCACATTGAATCTTACGATACATATACAGAGTATTAAATATAAATAAAAAAAAACTAATTATACAGTTTGGTTGAAAATCACGTGACAAATATTTTAAGACTAATTAGTCTATAATTAGCCATAAGTGCTACAATACTAACATACGCTAATAATAAATTAATTAAGTTTAATAAATTCGTCTCGTAATTTCTAGACGAGCATAATTAATTTTTTATTAGTATTCGAAAAACCTTTCGGACATCAAACATATCCGATGTGACATAAAAAAAAATTTATTTCACCAACTAAACACACCCTTAGCAACCCAAGCCATGCCTTTTACACGGTCTCCGACGACCGCAACCCCAGAATACAAAAACCCCGTCTTTGTCGCCGGCCGCCGCGATGAACACGACCGCTCGCCGGACGCCGGCCACGCCTCGCCGATTTCTCGTCCGCTCGCTCGCTCGTCGGCCGGCGTGCCCTCGGTGCCTCGAGCCGCGGCGCACGACGGAAATCCCGCTCCCCGGCGCCGGTTTCCACGCTAAGGGGGAAAAAAACAAAAACACACCAGCCAGTCATCAGGCAGGTACGGGGTAAATGTGCCGGTGCCGCAGCGATCCTGCGACCACGGCCGGCTCCTGCATTTACTGCAGCGTACGGCTCGGGGCCGCGGAGGCGAGCAAATCGCGGGCCGTATCAGAACCCGCGCGCCGGCCGTCGCCGGACGTCGCGCCCGCCCTCTCGCCACCGCGGCGGGGCGGCACGGCCCAGGCGAGTTGGCGTCAGACAGAAGCAGAGACAACACGTTGCTGTGGTTGGAAACGAATCGCTAATTACTCATAGCTTCATTAATTCTCGCCGATTACTGATAACTCGGTACCCCGGCCAACGACACACTTCTTCCTCCTTGGCGGGGGATGGTGCCCAGCACACATGGCGGCAGCGGCGGCGCCGGAGCCGGCGGCCACAACACTGCGCTGCCGAGCCGGACACTTCTTTATCTCTTCTCTTACGCTAAAAGAATACAACAAGGAAAATAAAAAGAACACGAACGGAAACAAAATTGGCCGGACTAGGCGAATCCGGTGCGCAGGGAGAGTTGGCGGGGCAAGCGGGCGGGAGCACTAGACGACGGGAAGAGGGTCGTCGATCTGGAACAGGTCGGTGATGTCTTGGAAGAAGTCGTCCACCTGCTGCCACCTCGCCGGCGACGCCGGCTCCGCGTCGGACGGGCACTCCTCGGGGCTCCCCACCGGGATCGACGGCGCCAGGGACAGCGGCTCCTCGGGGATGTCCGCGAGGAAGTCCAGCGACGGCTCCGGGAAGTCCGCGAGCAGGTCAAAGTCGGTGTACAGCGGCGGGAACTCGCCGCCGAAGCAGTCGTCGGTGGAGGAGAACGGGTAGCCGAACACGCTGCTGCTGCCGCCGGTCGACTGGTCGGTCTCCGGGGCCGGCGCGGCTGGAACTGCCGGTGCCGGCGCCGGTTTCTTGGCGGCCGCCTTGCTGCAGGTGTCGTCGGCGACCGCGGAGGGCGGGAATGAGCGGAGCACGGAGGTCGGGGACGCCGCCGCCGCGGGGGACTCCTCGCTGGAGTCGTAGGACGTGGCGGAGGAGGAAGCGTTCTTGGACGCTGCCGGAGCCAAGGCCGGCGCCGGCGGCTGCGGGAGGCGCTCGGCGACCTCGTCGGGGACAGGGACCGGCGCGTCATCCACCTGTTCGAAGTTGGTGGTGGCGTCGGGCCCGCGCAGCTGGATGGCGGCCGAGTCGTACACCTTTGCCGCCTCCTCGGCGGTGTCGAAGGTGCCGAGCCACACCCGCACCCGCCGCCACGGGTCGCGGATCTCCGCCGCGTACTTGCCCCACGGCCGACGCCGCACGCCACGGAACCGGGGCTCCGCCGCGGCGCTGTCGGACTTCCTCTTCCGCCCGGGGAGGACCAGTCTGGTGGTCCTCTCCCCAGCCACGCCCACCGTCGCGGCAGCCGAGGACGCCGCGGCCCTCCCGGCGGGGACCTCCTCCTTCACCGCCCGTTCCAGGCGGATCTCCTGCACGTAGCGCTTCACCCTCCTGCGCGCGACGGCGTCCTCCTCCTCCTCGTCGCCGGACGAGTCGGTCGCGTCGTAGTCGTCGCAGAAGACCCGCACCGTCCGGGGGCCCGCGACGGAGGAGGCCCCCGCCGCTTCCCTCCACTTGGCCGCCGGCGCCACCTCCACCGCCCGGGAGGTGACCTCGACGTGCTCCGTCCGCCTCACCGCCACGAACATCTCCTCCTCCATGGGCCACATCACTCCACTCGCATTTGACTTCGCCACCAAGCTTGCCCCACTCCTAAAACCCCTCAAGAACCCTCTTCCAAGGCTCTGGAAGGGGATGGCACGGCCACCCAACCTCCTACGCCACCGGAAACCACTCCTCTCCCGAAAGCCCTGGCGGACAAGCTCGCGGCTTTCTGAGGTGAAGACGAGGCGCCGGCCGGACGGGGAAGAAGGCCGGGTGGGGTGGGGTGGGGTCAGGTGGGGGTGGTGTCCCTGGCACCGCCTGGCCTCCTGCTGCTCTGCGTGCGTGCTTGATGCGCTCGCTGTCGCTGTTTGCTGTTGCTGCTGGTGGTAGGCCGAGAGCACCGGAGTCCGCCCCACTTTTATAGCATCCGGGAGGTCATTTCGGGAAACCCGGATTTTTGTTTACTCCTCAAAAAAAATTTGCTCGCTTTCCTGCGTGGCTTTTCCTACTCCGGCCCTTTCTCGCAAAATTTCCCCCAAAAAGGACGTCATTTCAAATTTCGAAAGTGTGATCTAGTAGCTGCTGAAAAATGGCGAAAAGTGAATGCCATCGCCTGGCTTGCTGGCTGCCTGTTTTACCGCAGGCAGTAAAACACATCGACGTACTACTCCTAACCACCTGGCCCCCGTACGTTTTACTTGCCCACCAAAATAGGCCGCACAGGCAGGCAGTAATTCCCCTGCGCAGGACCCACCTGTAAATGACAGCAGAGCCGGGTATCCAACGGTACCGGGCCGTATCCCAAACCGGACCCACCTGCAAGCGACGCAGAGATTCTAGCGGCGGCCGACTTGTGGGAGAGCGGAGCGCTCCAGCCCGCCGCATCCCGCGCGTGGCCACTGGATGCGCGCCGCGTGTGTGGAGACCCCACGTGTCAGGGACGGTCACGTGAGCCGGACTGACCGGGGTGGGGTTAAACTGCGGTCAAATCTTTGGGGGTGGGGAAAGGCCGCGCGGCGTGCAGGTTCTTTTTTTTCTCCTCTTCTTTCACCACGGCCAACCGGCCACTCCTGTCCACTGATCCAATCCAGTCAGGGGACGTGCAGTAATTTCGGGATTCCCGAGTGGTTTTTTTTCCGTTGGAGGGCCTAGATTGCAAAATTTTTAACCTGAACACTGTAGCACGTTTCGTTTGTATTTGATAAACTTTGTCCGATCATGGACTAACTAGGCTCAAAAGATTCGTTTCGTGATTTACAACCAAACTGTATAATTAGTTACTTTTTTTACCTACATTTAATGATCCATACATGCGTCTAAAAATTAATGTGATGGAGAGATAGTGAAAAAACTTGGAACTTTGATGTCACCTAAACAAGGCCGAGATATTTCTGCCGGGTTTTTCTCCCGCCGCTCCTAATCTGATATTTCTGCCGGGTTGCCGGGTTTTTCTCCCGCCGCTCCTAATCTTTTTCTCAGTTGGGTCCCTGTAGTCTCCCTCGGCCTCGCTCCTGATCCAATCCAGTCAGCGGCTGCTTGCGTGCCAAGGCAAAAGGGAAAGGGGGACAATATTTGATTTTTTTTAGATCTTGGAGATACACATATGCTACTGTCATTAATACAGTTGTCACGTAACGTGGAAACTGACCTTCGCTGGCATGACAGTTGAAGCGCACTAGAAGCTGTGGTGGGTGAATAGTTTTTATTTACAGCTTTGCACTATTGTGCAAACTGAAAAATGCCAAGAATTTATTGTTGGAGATATTGTTTACAGACTCACTCATTGATGAACAAGAGCGGGAGGAACCTCAGAAAACGGAAAATTCTGGCAACCAACATTCTTGGCTTGTTCATTCGAATTTTGAAACGTGAAAGGACTATCAGCACCCAAGTTAAAAGAAATGTGTAAGTGTTCTTGACCAATTGTGTTCGATTCTATTTTGTGTAGACAAGAAATATCATAGCCTCTGAGCAACAACATATTGATATGGTAATCGAACGATGACTAAAACACCATGTTGACAACCAAGTACACCAATAAATTGTATAATCAAATTTCAAATCAGAAATGATTTAGTGTTTATACAAACATGTGCAAAATGCAAGAGAATCATGGTAAGTAATAATCAAGACAGCTATGAATAAAGTGAGCCAGTAACCATCGAAAACAACTCGCCGTTTAGATTTGACTTTGTTGCTTGCACCAGTAAATAACAGATCTTTGATCCTCGATCAAAATGGACTCTAGTCCCAGAATTTTTTGCGCCCGGGACTAGAGATACCTTTAGTCCCGGTTGGTGGCTCCAACCAGGACTAAAGGTCCCTGCTCAACGGCTACTGCGCCAGACAGAGGTGGCAGGGACCTTTAGTCTCGGTTGGAGCCACCAACCGGGACTAAATGTAGACTTTTACTCCCGGTTGGTGGCTCCAACCGGGAGTAAAGGTCTACTCCCGAGCCGTGGCTGCGCCGGGGGTTGGAAAGTTACCTTTAGTCCCGGTTGGAGCCACCAACCGGGACTAAAGGTCCCCCCTTTATATCCCGGCCGTCTCCTTCTTCCTCCCCGAGCCCGAGCTCAGCATATTTTGAAGCTCACTGCACTAGTGTTCTTGCTTCCTCCCTCCATTGTTCCTCCATCCATTCTTCAATTCCTCCGTCGATTTCTTCGATTCCTCCGTCGATTCTTCAGTTGTAAAGGTTACCAATCTCATACTCTCATTTTTCACCATTGTCTTATCTCATTTTGTTCACTATATATATATGGTTCTTTATTGTGGTTTTTTTCATTTGTAAGCAATTTGAGCTCAAAATCACTTCAAGCTTGCATATTTACATGAAAGAAGGTTAAAGTAGCTATTGAACTTGCGGACCGTGTTCATCTCGGCGAGCATGTTCTCTGCCGAGCGGTAACGGACGTCAAGGAGGAGCTTTGATTCTATGAGAGAGAGCGGCAACGGTCGTAGAAGACCGTGTTCCCTTCCTCGTAGAATCGGAGCTCTTCCGTGGCCAAGTACGGTGCCGTCCGGTGGAGAAATGCTCGTCGAGATGATCACATAAGCAAGGTCAACTAGTACGGATGGTTATTTATTCACATGTCCCGATATCGTCGCAGTAGTCTGTCAATCACCGTACCCAAACGTAGTATATATATAAATATAAACGATAATCGATTGTTATGTGTGTACACTCCCATTCTTCTGTTAATTTGTGAAAATATCATATGAATTACTTACCTGTCGCAGTAAAAGACGAGAACACAATGACCATGGCCACGGCAAGCAGAGTAGTGTTAAACTTCAAGCTTGCATATTTACATGAAGGAAGGTTAAAGTAGCTATTAAAAACTAGTATTCACCGTTCATTTGTAGCATGCATAGCACACTTCATTGTTTAGATATATAGAGAATTTTAGAGTTTTTTTAATTTTATTTGTTTATAAAATGAGAAATTTATAGTGTATTAAAAATGAGTATAGAGAGTAGATGGCAACTGCTTCCGGGTCCTCAGCCTCTCATGGGTTTCCAAAGCGACTTAGGCCGGGCCTCCCACTCATTGCATGCGACAAGTGTTGTGATGAGACGAAGATTGTGATGGAGTACCGAGTGAAGAAGGAGGGTCCCAACAAGGGTCGCATTTTCTACAAGTGTCCGGATCGCAATGTGAGTTATTTTATCGTATTTAATGACTATGGTTAGTTTATACCTATTTTCATGATGGTTGTAATTAAAGTTCTAATTTTCTGTTTTAATTTCAGTGGGATGGCACTGGATGTTCAGGCTTCTACTGGGAGGAAGAGTATGTTGAACTCGTGCAAAAATATCTTGCACAACAGACAGATATGACGGCTAATGAGGCAGTGATCCAGCCAAAGAAGCCTAAAGATGTTGAACAAATGGGGGATCTGTCTGTTTTAGTTGGGATTGGTCGTGAAATCCTCGTGCTGCTGAAGTGCATTTTAGCTTTAGTGTTTTTAGTGGTAGTTGGGATTGTCTACATTGTAGCGAGGATTTCTTAAATTTATAGCTTTTGTGGTGGTATGCATGTTGTATAATTAACTAATTATATTCTAGGTTTTAATACGGTATTTATGTCATATAATACAGATGAGTCGGCATTGGATGTACAATGCTGATCGTCGCTCCCAAGAGTTCATGGACGGCGTGCATTATTTGTTACGTGCGGCCGAGGCAAACAAACGCGATGGTTTCATGTGCTGCCCATGTGCCGTATGTAAGAATACTGTGGAATATCCTTGCTCAAGGACTCTTCATTCACACTTGTTCAAGTCGGGTTTCATGCCAAACTATATTTGTTGGACGAAGCACGGAGAAACCGGCGTTGTAATGGAAGAATGTGAAGAAGAACAATGGGACGACAATGATATTATTCTCGATGGTGCGTGCTTCAATGATACTGCAATGGGAGAAGCTGAAGAAGAGGTAGCCGTAGAAGATGAGTCTGCTGATGATCTTTGTCAGGTCATTCGTAACGCACAAAGAGAATGTGAAAGTGAAAAGGAGAAGATCAAGTTCGAGCGGATGCTAGAAGATCACAAGAAATTGTTGTACCCAACTTGTGATGCAGGGCAGAAAAAGTTGGGAACCATACTAGAATTGCTACAATGGAAGGCAAAGAATGGTGTATCTGACAAGGGATTTGGAGAGTTGCTAAAAATCCAAAAGAAGATGCTTCTGAAGGACAATGTATTGCCCGCCACTACCTACGAAGCAAAACAAGTTGTATGTCCTATGGGGCTAGAAATTGAGAAGATATATGCATGTCCTAATGACTGCATCCTCTACCGTGGCAAAGAGTACGAGAAATTAGATGCATGCCCGGTATGCCATGCATCGCGGTATAAGATCAGGCGAGATGACCCTGGTGATGTTGAGGGCGAACGTCCGCGGAAGAAAATCCCTACCAAGGTTATGTGGTATGCTCCTATAATACCACGCTTGAAACGTCTGTTCAGAAACAAAGAACATGCAAAATTGTTGCGATGGCACAAAGAAGACCGTAAGGTAAACAATATGTTGAGACACCCTGCTGATGGGTCCCAGTGGAGAG